AAAAAAACAAGTTAAGTTTTGGAAAACAACAACAAAACCCAGTGGGCACTTTGCAAGGCATTCACATACACACTTTAAAATACTGATTCCAAGTCATCGGCCTCAACAAGGTAGAGTCATGCACATTTTAGACTTGGAGGTGTTCATAACTGAACTCTTAAAATTCCGTAAGTCTAAAATATTAACCAAACATACCTGTATAAACGCATATCCTGACTATTTTGTCCTTAATTTTATACTCTTTACTCAAATCAAGGCCAATGCTTCTAGCATTTAAAAGTATTTTTAGTCCATGTCTAAACATTCAATGCAATAATGCAATCTATACTTTTTGGATAACCAAGCTTGCATTAGGTTCATATGGGAGTTTCACTGCACACAGGAATAAGCCAGGCTGCATATGTGTACTGGGACAGAACTGCATACTAAGAAACAAAGTTACTTCCCAAACCAATTGCTAAAAATCCTTTGTTTTTCACTGTACCATGCTCCCCTCAGTTTGGTAAGCAAACTGTATTCTTTCCTCCTATTTAGGTCTAAATTTGGACATTTTCAGCCCTTTGCAATTACAGTCCTAGGAGTTACTTTATAAAACGCCAAATACGCACTGCGCAGAGTAAGAACATGAATCATCATCCTTTACTGATTACATATTAAGATTTCCTAATGAATAAATTATATGCAATCCATTTCTTTCACTGGTATCACTCTAAATCACACAATGCTACAAATCTCTGAGACTTTACTAGGCTAGAAAAGTTTGGGCTGTTTCTCGTAGATTAAGCTGAACTAACACAAACTTTTGTGGGAGTCCTGCTGTTGTTGAAGTTCCCACAAGCAGCCCCCCACTTCTAATCAGATGTCCTCTGCAGACTATTTAGCTACAGCACCAGCAAAAAAAAGTAGTCACGTTCCACTGCTCTGAACGTTGTCATTCGAGCTGAACTGCTAACAGGATAAGTGAACCTGCCTACTAGTTTATTTTCTTGAAGTAGACATGAAGCATCTTCCCCGATGCCAATTGTCAATTAGATCCTTATTTTACTTCTTGCTTTTAAAATGTAGCACAATCTGAGCTTGTGAGGGACTTTTCCTTACCTCCAATAGTGAGAAGTTATTATCTCATGTCCATAACCATGAGATTCTATGTGCTATTTAAAATTGTGATATGCTTATTGAGGAGTTTAAGTGATTTTTTAAATTTATTATTATTTAAAAAAAAAAAAAAAAAGGTTGGTTCATGGTTTTTTTTTTCACAGCAGGTCAGATAGCCAGATGGATGGACCTAGTTATTTAGTGGATTTTTCTTTTTTACTGGATTGTTCTTTGTTTACACTTTTTTGCATAAGGCATAGGTGATACTCTCTACAAATGCAATGAATACCTGGCAACCTAATAAGAAGAATTTATTGTTTAATCTGTTTTTATATTGAAACATTTTAAAATTGGTATCCCAGAGCATATGTAATATAATCTATATTTCTATATACTTCAGGGAAGTAGAGCCTTACATAGCATCTTCCAATTTAAGGATTAGAAACATACATCCATTGGGAGAATTTTTGTCTGTCTACCCAGACTCGCTTGCTAGTTTGTTTGGATGGACGTAAAGAATTGGTTTATCGCCTAATAAATGTATTGGCATTTTGCATGTCCATCATCTAAAAACAAATAGTTTATTTCATTTCAGGTCACTCTTGAAATATATCTTTTCCCTTTCTCTCTCTCTCTGAAAGTCGGTGGCTCTACGTCTCTTCAAATCTGTTCCTTTTTCTGTTGCTAACAGCAATGCAATGAACCTCCTTGAGTTTGTTATAATGAGAAAGCCAACTCAAAATGTGAGGTTCCCTAGTGGGGAAAAGGGACCACAAGAGCAGAGAAGGCTCATGCAACAGTTAATAAGGAGGGAAAATCTGAGTCACAGCAAAAGAAACTTGATGAGAAGAGCCACGCAAAGGGAGTGCAGAAGCAGTCTGGTTTCTTATTCTGTTCCTCACATAGCTATCTATTCCCTTCTCAACTGACTCTGGGCATGCACATCGATGTAATAATTACCTCCACTCTCTCATACTCCCAATTCTCTGTTCAAGATATTTTTTTTCTTTATTTCATCAAGAACCTGCACTGACTGACTGATGATTAATATCCAAAGTAGCTGTTGAATCTGGGAATCTTTGTCAGCCACTTTTGATGAATCTATTCAGTATTACAGAGAATTATGGAAACCTATAGCCTGCATCAAGGTCTGCATTATTGCTGAGAGGGAGCTTTACACACAGAGATCCAAAAACAAAATGGTAGAATCATTAACCCAGCTTCCAGAAACAAAATACACTTTTAAAGTTATGCAACTTTTGCAGAAAATCAAGTAGAGTTTAAAAGTAGTAAAGGATTTGGAGAGTACTTTTATTCTTTTCAAGATGTAGGTTTCAAGGACTTTTTGTACATATAAAAATGCAGTGAAAGCTTTGCTAAGGACTTGCTCTTATACTTTCATGAAAAAGTTTAATACTAAAGTAGCTTAATTGCTTTTTTCTCCTTTTTAAAAAAATTGCCAAGGTTCCCTACAGGAGTATCTTTTTCAAAAAAGAAAAAAAAAAAGTAGTCAGATTCTTGAATTTTAAAAAAAAAAAAAATCACAACCTGAACAATCTTATGCACTGGGTTTGACTGCGTGCTTTGCTAGTAAAGACTTACCACACCCCACCAAAGAGCATCAGCATAGCTGGAGAAACCTGTCCTTCCATCCTCATCTACTGCATCTTTCTCAGCAAGATAAACAAAATAGGATGAAAAGATTAATCCCAAGAATCCAATATACAGTGTAGTTATGAGTTCCTATTGAAAGAAAAAACAGGTACATCAGGTTTAAATCATAATTCTATTGGAACTCACTGTAAATTTCTTTTGTATCATGTTAGCAATATTAATAAATTACATTTCAAGTATGAAGTTTTTTTCCAATAAAATAGGTAAATCAGTGATTTTTTTCTATTTATATTAGACTAAAAAAATTCAACAAGAAGAAATCATTTTCAGAAAATCATTCTGTAACACCTCCCCCAAGTTTTTTAAACTGTATATCAGGTAAAGTTCAATTTTTTTTATTATAAAACTCCCCTCAGGGAGTTTCTTTTTTTGTAAACCTCTTCTCCCTCCCTCACCTTGCATGACAGCTTCCTGGGGAAATGTAGCTTTGGTAACTAGTAATTGCTTACAGTCCCAGGAACTAGACTATGCATACCCTTTCTTCTAATATAACACTAATAAGAATCTAGATTCAGCAAGTTTGTAACCAATATTTGCACAAAGTAAAGTAGATGTCTTTAATCATTTAATAACAACCTAAAAAAGGGAATTTCAATAGCATTTAATTATTGTCTTTCCATCTATGCCTTACCTTTTCGTAGGTCTATTTGCTAAACAAGGCAGCTGAAAGGAAATCCAACCTGGATTTTCAGTAGCTCAGATTTCTAGTCTGATCACCATTCTTTCCTCATCTTGTTTTCTAATGATAATGGCACACTGAGTACTGGTAGGTATGAGCTCATTACTCTGAACATTTAAAAGTTCCTTGTATTCACATTTACAGTTGCTGGTGTTTTGCATTTCCCTAGTTTTCAACGACTTTTTGATCTGCCTAAACAATATTCCTCAATGCAAGAAGAAATTGTTTAATATCTGTAAGTCCAGGGACCCATAGAGAGTTACAAAAGCAGAGACTAGTTCTTGTTTCCTACTTTCAAAGGCATTCTGTTTACACCTCTAGGAGATGAGGCAACTTCCTACCATATCTACAGAAATCTTTTAGCTACACTTGACATGTTGCTTACATCTCAGATACTAATAGAAGTCATACGTAATTGAGGAATGGCCATCACTGCTTTCAAATTTTGTCTCAGAGGAGAGAGCTAGTATAGACAAAAACCGGAAAAATTAAGCGTTGACTTTTTGAGAAGTGGGCAGAAAAATATGCTTTTCAGAAGTGTTACGCAGAGTCTCATGACTGATAGTTCAAAGTGGTTGAAATACCACTAGAACTACTTGGGCTATTTCAGCACTGACACCTCTCTGTTCCAGGCCTACTCAACTAAAGATTGAACTCTTGTTAAACTGAAGCCTGGTTTCAAAAGTAATTTCCTTAGACTGATTCTAAGTGTCACTCCAAGTAGCACATGCAGGCAAAGACAAACTACTACTTGCCTGTATTTATTAACAACAGTAGCAGCAGTCTACATAGCACATTTAAGAGACAATACAGAAGACTAAAATATATGCCTCAAAAAATATAGATGGAGAGCATTGTCTACCAGTACCAACAGGATGAACTGATAAATCATCTTAAAGCAGAGCTTTGCAGAAGTTAGTCTTTAAAAACCCCCAAAAGATGCTTGTATTAATATGGATTTGTTAGAGGTAAGAGCTTAAGAGTAAAGAACGCTGCTTAATATAAATGACGACTATTTTCAGCACATGTGCACATAAGTCTCTCAGTATTAAAATTTACCTAAGTCACATTTAACTTAGACAACTTTATATTTCCAGTTAGAGCAAGTCCCTCACAATATAAAATTCAGTACTTAAGAAAAAATCTCAAACCCACAACTAATCAGTGGCCCCCTAATACAAGCAGCAGAAGAGCGCAGAGAGCAAAGTGAGGAATAAGTAAAACTAAGTGATAGGCTCATTAACTGGGGCGGGACTGGTTAACTCCATTTTTCAGTGAGCTGCATGATTTTTCCATGGCTTTCCATCACCACATGTAATATTGACTCATGTTTTGTTGCTTTTGGCAAGAAATGCTTGTATAAGCTCAACTTGCTGAAAATAGAAGAGTGTTCTAGCCAAATCGGGTCCGAATGAGCTAATACAGTTATATGTAAAATTCCAAAACACATGGAAAGCATTGGTGAAAACTTTAGTAAGCTCTTCTGGGTCCATAGAGGTCCATGTGCTTGTTATTTTCACAAGTCCCAAAGAGCTGAATTTATTTTTTTCCACATTGTTTAGGGATTTAGGGTGCCATTTGGTTCTGAAAGAGTACCATACTCAACAAATGAGGACCTTGTACTAGAGACTGGAGAGGAATAAAGGTTCCATTTTCCCTTTGGTACCATGCTACACTTGTCCAATGTCAATATAGAACCGTGTGTTTGATTTTGAACCAGTAACGTGTTAGTGGATGATCTGCTTTGACAGGTACTACAGATCTGAGGAGTTTTATATGTCATCATAATCACGTCTTTGGATTAGCAGAACTTCAGGTGCATTTATGAATCAGCCTCTCCAAGGGTGCGTTTCTTTTTAAATCATTGAACTTGTTTATATTTGTGACATTTGAGTCTTAAGCGTTATGTTTTGGAGATACGATTGCCAGATTCTTGACTAAAACTTTGAACATCCACAGAAAAAGGAACTCCTAAACACCTCTGTCAGCAAGGTTAGTGAATGCTGGGAAAGTGTATTTGGATTCCTAGCTAGATATCCAGGCAGTGCAATCGTAATAAATGAAGATCACACTGACTTGGGGCATTAAAACTCATCCTGTAGTACAGGACGAAAGTAAGCTTTATACTAAAGCACTTTTAAAAGGTTTTTAAAATCAAGACTTACATGCTTCAATACTGCTCATCTTTCAGGACATTCCTTACAGTAGAGGGGAAAAAATTAAAGGAAAAGTAACTTTTAATATTAAATGAGTCTTGATTTAACTCCCTCCCATTCCCTGTACCAAAATAACACTAGAAAAAGCAATTTGCTAAATGAAAAGTGTAGTAAAAAGGAAATAACGTCTGTATGAAAGTTCATAACTATTTATATAAATCTTGAACAGATTTCATGCATAGAGCATAAGTTAAAGAAACTCCCTTATAATCCTGATGTAAAGATTAATAGCACAGAATTAGCCTTCTACAGTTGAGAGACTCCATGAAACCCTGAAAAGAACCCTTAAGCTAGTCATTCCAAAAATTCTGCATTGAAACTTTTAAGTTTTTCCTGTTAAATACACTCCCATACAAAATAACTGTCGCAAAAAAAATCGCTGTTTACAGTCATGTTTACCTCTGTGCTTGACTACCTACATCCTTGAAAAAGGCTTCTTTTCCTGCATGTTGTTATAACATATTTCATATTTTATTTTTAGAATGTATTAGAGAATTCATTCAGGCAGAGAAAATAAAATCATTTAAATAGCTGATTTGTTCACTTAACACATTTTCACTGATGTTTGTTTTCCTCTAGAATAATCAAGCTAGGAAAACATCTCTTGTGAAGACAGTGGACAGTATATGCTATACAAGAGGCAACCCACACACCTGCATTTAATAAATTATACTGGAAGATAACAAAGAGCATGAAGTAGCATTATTCACAGCAGCTAATTTCCTAAAAATACTGATGCTAATGCCCTCTTATCCACTGCCCTAGAGGAAACAATAGTACTCCTGTTTGAAAAGTAGGAAGAAATTCATGGACTCTTAAAGTACTTTTTCTCTTGCAACAATAACTGTTCATTTTAACCAGGCTGCAATTTGAAGTCCAGGAAAAGAATATACTAAATTAAACAAAACGCTAAGGATCTTTTAAGATCTAGTACCTGACGATGTATGAAGACAACCGATCCTAGCAGTCGCCAGGTGCCACCCTGCCGATCTACATGAAGCATGCGAAGTATCTGGAGAAACCGGATCCCCCTGTAAGAAAAATGCTACATGAAATAAAAATGGTAATTGAGATAAATATTGCTATATCTATAGACAGTTAACCACATTCACTTGCATACTGCTATATTAGAGAAGGGTGGGGGTATCACCCTTAGCTAGGCTTGCACCTTGGACTTGAGGCATTTCAGGGCAGTGTGTTTAGACCACACTGCAGAGTATTCAAATATATTCAGAAGAACAGAGTAGTATAACTTTTTTTTTAAAGGCAAAAAGACTCTAATATATGGTTTCAAACTTGTGAAATTTTCTTTTTTTTTTAATCTGATTCTCAAATACTTCCTTTCTAAACTAAATTGGTGCTTCCAGCTTTGCTAAGAAATATATATGAGCAAAATTTTTCCTCTTTGCCAAAAGCAGAATGTGAACCAGATGTGAAATTACTTTATACAAGTCTTTACACAAGTTATGGAAATTATCTAATTAGGAAATAGATACAATCCTATGCAATTTTAGGGCAATAACTGAATTGAACTTTAATATTTTCAACTAAAGAAAAATAATTATCCATATGGTTCTTCAGCAAAAATTTAAATGTACAGGAATATTTCATTCTAGTCACCCTTTCTACACTCTACTTTTCTATTTTCCTACACTTATCTTACCATCTTATCGCTGAAATAAAACCGTGAAGAGAAGGAAAAGATGAATGCTGAATTATATCTGAATCTGATAATATTTCACTAAAATTGTATTTTTTGTTCCACAGTCCTTAAGAGTCATTCCCCCCTCTCTGAAATTCAGCCTTCTTATTTCAACTCAACTGTAGCTGCATCCTCCTGGACTACATCAACAGGCAGCAACTTCAACATGATGTATTCTGCAGTTACTAGGAAGGTGTACTGTCTTCAAAAAAAATCCAGCTTTTCCTTTATTTAGAAAGCAGGTTTTCTGAGCTTTCACAACTGATAGTCAAATACTTATCTTGTTTTGGAAAGCATACAAATAATAACCGAAATGACAGTTATATCAGTGACAAGCTACATGAACACTGTGTTTTGTTACTTCTTCATTCACTGCTGAATCGTTTTATTTAGCTGGAAAACTTTAAGCGGCTATTTTAAAATAGATTAAAGCCTGGATGGAAGAAGAATTACAAGACTACCAAATATATGAGCACTAACAGACTTACATAATGCAATAGATGATTGGTTACTGATGCAGGAAGGGGAGAGATATACAGGTGGCTCCCCTGTACAAATGTTAGACAGAACTCTTGACACTGTGGCCTCGTTCTTGGTTTTCCCATCACGGTTGTATTTAAGATCATTACTGCTATGTTGCATCCAAGCACAACATGCATGTTACAGGCTGGCAGTTTTATAAGTACAGATTGAAAAAAAAATAAAATAAAATAATGAACAAAAACTCCAGACGCACAGCCTCTGAATATGCACACTGCCTCTCTTTGAAAAAAGGAAAGTAATTCAGCATTTCTATCAACTTGGTAAGCTTAGTCAATAAGGACAAAAGGCCATAGAATTCTATGCTGTGAACCTGCAGTTTTGCTAGGTTTCAGTATCACTGGTTGCTGCAGAGGTTAAATGTCATTCCACCATACCTGATGGGTCTTGCGCTTAACTTAATTCTAGGAGACAACAATCTCATATAGATGGATGATCCATGCTTTTCTCTTCCACTTTTTTGGAGTGTGAAGGTGGGCCAAACAGGACCATAACAGTGTGCTTTAAAACCAACAACAGCCCAGGGCAAGGATGCAAGACTTTTTCCTCCTTTAATTCTAGAACAGCCACTCACATCAGCAGGATACATTCAGAGGAAACCTTATCTGACTGGGACTTGTCCAAGCCAGACGGTTTCCCCGTTTCCCCATGGGGGAATAACATCACTGCAGAGACATGGGTCAAGTTTCTCTGGCAGAGAGAACTCAACTTGTAGGACAGTGACCATAAAACTTAACACCAGGAAAGGCTGTGCTGAGCCCAAAGCCACCCGGATTCATACACAGTCACAGTGTGTCTTTTCATTCAAGTCCTTCACGATAATTATACTTTCAGTAAGATTAAACAAAGTCTTTGGAACTTTCACATTCACCTCCTCTTCCCGTGTGCGAGCTGATAAATTACACTTGCACTGCATGCATGGATCTTTATTATCGTGTTCTAAGTTATCCAAGGATTAACTAAGCTAAAGATTAATGTTCCAAGTTAAATATTTATCTTAGAAACACCTTACAACACTTGTAGTTTCCCTCCCTACAGAGCCCCAGGCTAGACAGTACTGTACATTCTCACTCCCCAGTAATTCAATTGCAGTGGAAGTTAGAGGCTAATAAGGGGAAGTGCAGCACATCTTACAAGTCAAGTTAGAAGGAACAGGAAGTGCACCTACTCCACTTATCATTCTTTTCTATTTACTCAGTTTACTTCCCAAAACAAGCTTGCAGTACTTGGTGCAAGCTGAACAAACACTATACACATCAAATGTATCTGGTTCCTGTATGGCAGTAGTTACTCGAGCCAAACAAATCCACCAAAGCATAATTGTACTTTAAACAAATTACTTGCACTCAAAAAAAGTACCAAGTGAGTTAAGAGCTGTCTGGATTACTTCTTAAATAAACTGATGTTCTGTAACACTCTTGTCCCAGCAAGAGAGCCGTTTGATGTTTTATACAAGACAAACTGTTTTTTTAGTTGTTTCCTCTTGGCTTCAACATTCACACCACTCTCCATATGCCTTGTCTCTGCACCGTTTCCCAAGTAGCGACCAAGCACAATGACAGTCTTCCACAGCCCAGCACTTCACCAAAATAACTTTTCCTATATTAGATGTATATCTCTGCAACTGTTAGACTTACAGCCAGTAGAAGAACATACCTGATCGCAGAGGTAGCAAACACCTGCCCATTAGATCCTACACTCAGAACAATAATTGAGGCTATTACCACAATTAAATCTGTTTAAAAAAAAAAAAAAAGTATTAATGTAAGCTTTCAGCATTAAAACACATGACAGACAGAGATCAAGGAAAGTAGTTTAATAAAGAAATATTGGTTCAAAGTTAGCTGAAGTTTGGCAGATAGTAATAGTTTTACACCGAGAAAACTGACTACAGGTTCTTTTGTGATGAGTTTGATAATGGATGATTGAAAAATATTAATGGAACTGTTGAGGCAGTGTGCCTGAAAAGCAAAGGCATATGTACACCCAAAAATGAATCTATATTTTGGCTCAAAGCTCTTGATTTAAGGGGACAAAGAAGAGTTTTCCTTTATCAATAATGAAAGGCACACAGATGAATCTCAGGCATGCACAGCTAAAAACTGTATCAAAGCTGCAAAGGCAAACTTTCCAAAGTTTAGGAAACCGTCAGAACAAAGGTTGACTAAAAATCAGGTTTGGTGGTTTGCTTTGTGATAGACTTTTAACTATATGAAAAAAATTATTTCCATACCATGCCAGCATCATACAGTGCAAAGGATGGATCGTGCTCACAGACCTAGCATCCCTTAGACATTTCCTCTTAACCTAGTTTAGTGACTAGCTCTTTTGCTTTTAGTTATTGAATCCCATTTCAAAATTGTTCTGAAAAGACATTTTTCTAACCTCGTCACGGGCATTTCTATAGTACTCCTGTTTAGAGCATGGAAATGCTTCACAGACATTCACTTTCAAATTCTGACCACAAAATAAAGGATATTGTCATAAACGGGGAGCAAGTGTATACAGGCTAAGGAAAATATTTTGTAAATTTTAATTGCCCACTTTGAAACAAGCAGGACCTTATTTTTCAGAGCACTTAATGTTATATAGCACTTAAAAAAAAATAGTGCCTGCTGACTTCATTTGCAGCTGTGAGAGCTCAGAACTTCTGTAACCTGACTTCAAAGTCTCAGTTTCAACATCCAAAAATGAGGCACACTTGTGAAAACTGATTTAAATGACTGTCACAGAGTTTCCATATGATGCCTAGACAAGATGCAGAATGGAGTCCAACTCTAGAGGCAACATCAGTTGCTTTCAATAAGTAACTTTTTCCCCCACCTCTCCTTTAAACATGCTCTTGCCTCATTCACAACCACACGTTACTGCAACAAATAGTGCAGCAATTCTGTGACCAGCAGCATCCTTCACTCTCCAGCTTGGATTAATTTTCAGTGCCAATATAACTTTTGCTGGAAAAGTAGGATTCCTGCCCAAGGAGTAGTATTCAATTGTGTAATTAAAGACTGCGCAGCAATAGTTGTACATTGATGAATAAGTATAGGGAAGGATAATTCAGGGTTACAGAAAGAGCTTCCATTTTGGAATAATCCAGCTTTTGATTATTTGAGCTTCGTAATTTTTTATTATGTTTGTTTATCATGCACACAATTTGGGGAACCCCCCAGCCAGTATAATATGGCACAATGCAGACCTTCCCTCTTGAGCTCATGGTACAATGGATATCTTTACTTAGTTACCGGACATATATACACCATCTGGTGACCAGCACTAAAGGAGGAAAAGGCTGACACTTTAGAAACAAGTTTCTATCGGGTAGTGACAGTAAATATACTTTCCATTTGTACTTACCACTTTTCCAGAAGTGTGTTCTAGGTAGTACAGATGTTCCGGTTTTCCCCAGCCCTCACCTTCTATCCCTGTCTCATTATTCCACCTTTCACCTCAGTTTCTAATCTTTAGGCTTCTCATGCTAGCCCCAGTTTGCTGGTTCAACCAACCCCATTTTGCATTCCAACTCTTCATCATACCTTTCTGCCTTTACTCTGCCACCTTCCAGTCCTACATAATTTCAGGCCCAGCACTCTCTCCCTCAATCTCCCACTTGCTAGTCAGGCAACTTCCTTCTCCCAGGCCCCAACATCAGTGTCCATCCTCCTGCTGTTTCACTTAGACTGCACATCCCAATCCATTCCTCCTACCCTATCACTTCCCCTTAGCATTTCAGCCAGGTATCTTCCCTTTTCATGCACCCTAGGCAGCTTCAGGAAGGGCACCAACAAAATCAACAGATTTTCCACTTCCAGTCCCAGGACACCCACTCAGAGCAACCTGAAATTTGGATTGTGCAGGCTCTGCGCAGATGGAAACTTTGAAGAATTTAAGATCATTCTCTAGCAAGGCTTCCTTAAGGAAAAATGTGCTAAAAATTTTTCAAAGATTCGTGTTTTAGCTTGGAGTTGATTTTCAGGGGTAATCAAAGAGCTATTTTCTTGTTAAGTTTCAGGTATCTTCTTCGAAGTGTGGAAGTGTTAAGAGTTTCTCTGTGAAAAGTCACCAAAATTGCTCTTTTTAAGCACAAATGAAACAACCTTTCCCTCCCCCTCCAAATGCCTTTTTCAGGAACAGCTTAAAAATTTCCCATGAAGAGGCAGACACATGGCAAAGAATTTCAGGAATGAAGAGCCATCATTTGTTTAAATAACCATTTCAGCTATAACAATTAGTCTTTAAATTAGTCTTACATTAATATTCATTACTTTTTAAAGATATTCTTAGGAAACTTTGGTAATTTTTTTTTTTTAAATTGAGTTTCAGCAATTTAAAAAACACTACGTACAAATCCTTCTCAAACATTCTACATACTTACGTATTTGGAAACACATCTGTACATAATATGAGGTGGGGCGAGACAAAAAACGACATAACAATTTCTATGTAATAGGTACACTACACATGCACATGACAAACCTGCAATAAATAACATTCCCCATAGTTTACATTTGCTACACAGCTTTAAAATTCAAGTCTGCTAGCTCACTAGTCCTATGGCTTATTCTAATTTTCCAAATCCTTGAAAATTTCCAAACAGCTGCCATTTTTATCTAAAAATCAGCTTGCCTATGAAATTACTTATACGTACACTTCAGCATAGTACATAGCAACACCTATAACGCAACTTACCAGAGTATTTCTTTTCTCAAGTAATTTGTGACTTTTAAGAACATTAGAAAAAAAAGATTACTTTCTAATATGCAACTCAGCTTTGTGATTAAAGGCAATTAATCCTTTTTCAAGTAAAAAGGGTCAAAATATTTTTCCATAAGTACTTTCATTTCTATTTTCATTTTAAGTTGCTGTAATATTTTGCAGAATGGAAATATCCCTTAGCTTTAATCTGTGTTCTTAGTAATTTGGAGATAGTATGACATCCATACGGACTTAAAATAAACAGATTACATATACATACTTGAGTGACTTGCATGACATGCTTTCTCACTGAGCTTCTCCCAGGTTAGGCTTACACAAGGTAACAGGAATTTTACATAGCAGGGGCTGATACCTTTTCAGAATTGCATACCATAAGCAGTTAAAGGTGCTCACAAATACAGTTTGCCATATAGTTTTTGCTTAAGGATAATGAAAAGAACTCATGTACTCAGGTTTTTACTCCAGCAACTTATGTCCCTAAATACCTCTTTATACCAACGCTCTCAAGCCCAACACAAACAAATACTAATTCATAAATTCATTCTTTGTGACACTTTCTGCAACACTGACAAAAGGAAAAAAAGATGTGGTGAAAGCACCTCCTCTTAGCTTTGCCCACGTCTGGTACTTGCCTTTCATAAAGCCTAAGTAGGCTGGGATTTTCAGAAGCACATAGCTGCTCACCTAAACCCTGCAGAAGTAGTAAGCAACTGAAGCGTTAAAATAATATTTAGCAAAAGTATCACTATTACTCCTGTCACCATAGTACATGAGAACCAGTCTTTAAATATACTCAATTCTATCAAACTAGGAATGAAGAAACACAGAGAAAGTGATTTGTCACAGGGTTCTCTGTATGTTGGTAACGAATTCAATCCATTTCCTAACAGGCTCTTTAATTATAGGTAACGAGAAAAGAAAATTCTATCACTTGTCTTCAAACAAGAGAAAGATTAGGTCAGCTTTAGAAAGTTAAATCAAAATTTTCCATTTGTTAGGTTACAAGGTAGAGAGGTTGCATCACTTTCCCTTTAAGTTTTTTCTACAGAAACATTTAAAAAATGGCATCTCTTCCTATCTTAACTTCTTCCTTTCCCAGTTATCATACTGCTTTAACCAGCACAGAATTCAGGAACATTAAATAAGTTTCAAAAACAAAGTAATTAGTAGCCCTGACTACAGAATCCCTTTCTGCTAGCAAACATCAAAATCATTTTCATTCATAATGAAAGAGGGGAAAAAAATTAAATAGAACAGGACAAACTGAAGTTCAAAACTACTACCCAAGTGAGCTCTAAGACACAACCCCAAATTTATTGTGGACAAAAAGCCATAAGAGAAATCTCTTATGTCAAAGGTATTTCAGTGATACTTTCCAATTTTAAAATAAAGATAGGCATGTCTTATGGAGCTTTCATATTAATGCAAAGATAAATTGAATACCTTATTTTTACATTCCATTCTCATTTATCTTTTAATTTCTTCCTCTAGTGTTTGTATTTCATTCTCATTAATTGAAAAATGACAGTCAATATAAGTCAGTATGATTCTATCACTCATGGCAAATAAATTTCCCAACTTTAGCTATTTAGATTAGTGTAGACACTTCCACCTGCATCTGATATATAAAATCAAATCTTCATTTTAATTCTTTTTATTTTATTCTTGGGGGAATTTTAAATGTAAAACCAGTACTGATACCTTTGGATGCACAATCAGATGCAGTCATTTTTAACTTTCCTAACAAAAACATTGCATCCAACTTGATAAAATCTGACTTTTGAAATGCCTCGCATCCTCTCCAAGGACTATAAAAATAGCAGTGTTTACTGTGCTAGATGCACAATACCGGTACAAAGAATCCCTATCAAGCTGAAATCAGTTTAATGGGACTGATACATTCTCCTGCCCCTATGTAATCTAATATACTTAACTAAGAACACTTCTTAATTCAAATATAAGTCAAGATGATGATTAGGACAAAGAAAGAGCTACCTATGTAGGCTTCATGACTAAATCTTGAAACTAGGTCAGCTCCAGAAGCAGCTGAACAACTTGTTTGTATGTAAAGAAACACTTTTCTCAATAACCCAAGACTGAGTACAGTATCTCTCTGTATTATACATCTGGATATCTATAGTGGATAACAGAACAGTTTGTTTCCTAAATTTTTGCACCAAGATTTTTGCACCAAGTTACAGGTCGTTAAGGAAATAGATCATTCTCTACCCTTTTCACCTCTCCCATTTCCACCATTTAAAATTCAGTTAAATGAAGTTTAACTAAGATAAAATTCACAACTCTACAAGAACATAGATCACAAACTCAAAATAGAAACATCAGTTTTATGGTCTACTACAATTTTGCCCAAACCTCACATTTTATTAATCCCTCACTGTTCCACAGGAGGTATTAGTCACCTGTCCTCCTAACCTCTCTCCTGCTCCAGAGATGTTACCCATCGTTGTTTCTCAAATCATCTAAAACTGAGTAACTTTAGTATTACCCAGTGCAATTGTTCCCAGTTTGCACTTTGCTCATTTCCATACACTTCCCAATTTATACTCATCTTCTGCATTTGCTGTGTCTATACTAGACTTGAGGATGGGTTATGTGTCCACTCTTGTCTTTTTTTTTCCAGTTACACAAGCAGATTTATCAAAGATAACTTCACTTGACAAATTTTGCCTTTCTTATATTCTTTGAATACAATGTCACTATTAAGCACCAACTACAAATGAGAATGCAGACCACTAATTATAAGAGATAAATTATTTTAGTAATAGATATCATAATACTGATAATCAGTACTATAGAACTGATAGTAACTTGTAAATGTCCAGGTCATGTATACACGCAGAAAAAGGCTGGCCCTTTTCCAGAGGAGTTTGCAAAGCAAAGGAAAAACAGCGCAGCATATTTAAATCTCAGTTGATCTTCACGTCTTCCCCTTCCTGATACCACATACTCTCCAATCAGTTTTTGCATCTTCCACTATGCAACTCAAATACAGATTTTAGAACTCATCTTGTGAAAAAGATCAGAAGACCTAGCCAGCAGGGAACTCTGTCCCTAGAAACATCCAGGTGTGCACAGGAACAGTAAATATTCAGCTGCTATTACCTGCCCTCCTCATGCTCAAAGGCTGATTGTGACATTCGCTCTTTCTCCTCCTCAGACAAGATTTACGTAAGTCAAGTTCTCTCTCTTCAGCTAGTGCCCGTTCAGAGGTAGGGGAGAGGGCAATTTCATCCAGTTCTTTCATACACTATATTGTTATCGCTACTTGTTTTTTTTTCCTACTGCTGTAACAGCATCCACCTGAGATCAGCAGTCTACTAACCCGATCACAGCACTGCAGCATCATGAGGGCATGGCTACTCTACAAGCTATTCAATGCAAGTTGGAGATGCATGGCAATGGGGAAACTTACTTTACCTTTATACTGCATGTGACTATTCCATATAGTAGTCACTATGGAAGATGAACACATCTAAAAACAAAGGCTACCTTACCTCCAGGTAGGACATGGTAAGACAGCCTTTTGGCAGAGCCACAAGTAAATCACAGTTGGAGTGTGAAAGACAAATGCTAGATGGTCCACCATGAATGGATATTCAGTATGCCAGATAAACACAAAGCTTCTCATTTTGTGGGCTCAAACATGCTTTTCATATGAAAATTACAAAACGCTTTATTGCCTTTTTGCCCCTCACTTGGCCTATCTCATCCTTTTTGAAAGCACCTAAACCTCATGAATTCTAAACCGCTCTACTAGGAGACAAGGCAAGAGGTTTGGCCTCCCCACCAACTCCTGGTTCATCTATGTGACCAATAGAAGTGCCCATCACATGACCCTTGTTACATCATGTTAAGCTGAGGGCCTTCCTGTGTCTCACAGCCATATTTAAAATTTCTAGTTTTGGCAACCCGAAGAGAAGAAATAATTGCATAAGCTCACAAAACATAAATGCTTGAGTAATGGACATAGCTCAGGCTTGCAATGTGTTCTCTGCAGTAGATGACATCTTTATTTCAAGCAAACGATAATAGCAAAGTAACAAAGAACATTTAAAACTTACCAATAATTGATATCGGCTTTCTGGCAAAACGTATCCTTCCCTGGAAGCCAACATATTTACTTCTGCAGCCTGCGGACCACAATCGGACCAAATATTCAGCACCAAAAAACATGACCAGGACTATTTCCTATCAGAATTAAAAGGAGAAATTATCAGCTTGCTTTTTAATAAAAGACAAATTTGCACACCTAATTTTATTCCTGGAACTAATAAAAATAAGCTTGTGGTGACCAAAAGTACCTCCAGTACGGACTGCACCTAATCTGTTCACATTTTACATGCATATGCTGGCCAGTATGTGAAAGGGAGATATAACCTGATCCTGAATTTGATTTTGCACAAAAATGTTTAAACTCTATTCAATCAGTATATTCTAGAGAAAGATAATACTCTTCTTCCTTTACTTATTTACAGAATCACAGAATGGTTAAGGCTGGAAGGGACCTCTGGAGATCATCTCGTCCAACCCCCCTGCTCAAGCAGGGTCACCTAGAGCATATTGCCCAGGATCACATCCAGGCGGGTATTGAATATCTCCAGCGAAGGAGACTCCACCTCCTCTCTGGGCAACCTGTTCCAGTGCTCTGTCACCCTCACAGGAAAGACGTTTTTCCTCAGGTTCAGATGGAACTTCCTGTGGTTCAGTTTGTGCCCATGGCCTCTTGTCCTGTTGCTGGGCCCCACGGAGAAGAGACTGGCCCCATCCTCTTGACCCTCCCCCTTCAGATACTTATACACGTTGATGAGATCCCCTCTCAATCTTCTCTTCTCCAGGCTGAACAGGCCCAGCTTTCGCAGCCTTTCTTCAGAGGAGAGATGCTCCAGTCCCCTCAGCATCTTCATAGCCCTTCACTGGACTCTCTCCAGGAGCTCCATGTCTCTCTTGTATTGGGGAGCCCAGAACTGGACACAGTACTCCAGATGTGGCCTCCCCAGGGCTGAGGAGAGGGAGAGGATTACCTCCCTCGACCTGCTGGCAACGCTGTTCCTAACGCAGCCCAGCATACCATCAGCTCTCCTGGCCACCAGGGCACATTGCTGGCTCATGGTCGACTTGTCGTCCACCAGGACACCCAGGTCCCTCTCGGCAGAGCTTCTCTCCAGCAGGTCAGCCCACCAGCCTGTCCTGATGCATGGTGTTATTCCTCCCTAGATGCAGGACTCTGCACTTGCCTATGTTGAACTTCAGGACGTTCCTCTCTGCCCAGCTCTCCAGCTTGTCAAGATCATGCTGAATGGCAGCACAGCCCTCTGGTGCCTCAGCCACTCCTCCTGGTTCTGTATCATCAGCAAACGTACTGAGAAGGCCCTCTATCCCTTCATCCAGGTCATTGATGAATAAGTTAAGTAAGACTGGACCCAGTCTTGACCCTTGGAGGACACTGCTAGCTACAGGCCTCCCACTAGACTCTGCACGGCTGATCACAACCCTCCGAGCTCTGCCATTCAGCCAGTTCTCAATCCACCTCACGGTCTACTGATCCAGCCTGGTCCTTCCTGAGTTTACCTACGAGGGTGTGATGGGAGACAGTGTCCAAAGCCTTGCTGAAGTCCAGGCTGCATGCTGACTGCTCCTGATCACCTTCTTGTCCTCCACATGCTTAGAGATGGCATCCAGGATGAGCTGTTCCATCACCTTTCCAGGGCTGGAGGGGAGGCTGATAGGCCTGTAGTTTCCTGGCTCCTCCTTCTTGCCCTTTTTGAAGACTGGCGTGACATTGGCTTTCCTCCAGTCCTCAGGCACTTCTCCTGTTCTCCAGGACCTTTGCAAGATGACGGAGAGTGGCCTAGCAATAACATCCGCCAGCTCCCTCAGCACTCGCGGATGCATCCCATCGGGGCCCATGGATTTGTGGATGTCAAGTTTGGACAAAAGATCTCTAACCTGATCCTCCTCCACCAAGGGAGAGTCTTCCTTTCTCCAGACTTTCTCTCTTGTCCCCAGGGTCTGGAATTCCTGAGGACTGGCCTTAGTATTAAAGACTGAAGCAAAGAAGGCATTCAGTGACTCTGCCTTCTCTGTATCCTTCGTCACCAGGGCACTCACTCCATTCAGCAACAGCCCCACATTTTCCCTAGTCTTCCTTTTGCTAGTGATATATTTGAAGAAGCCCTTCTTGCTGTCCTTGACATCCCTTGCCAGGTTTAATTCCAAATGGGCCTTAGCCTTCCTTGTCGCATCCCTGCACACTTTGACAACGTCCCTATATTCCTCCCAAGTGGCCTGTGCCCTTTTCCACATTCTGTAGACTTCCTTCCTCTGTTGGAGTTTTGCCAGCAGTTCCTTGCTCATCCAGGCAGGTCTCCTGCCCGCTTTGCTGGATTTCTTACTCAGAGAGATTTACTGATCTTAAAAAATATATTAAAAAAATGGAGGCTAGAAGCATATTCATTCCTAAAAACCAGCAAACACATGAAGCATTTCAATATCATGAAACTATTTATAAACATAAAAACAAAGTGTAATGTCAATTTTTGTATGTACAAGAACATGCAGCAAATTAAAATTAGCAATTTATGTTTTATTACTGCTTCCCTCTATAGCACTATTTCATTCTACATAAATAGTGCATAACCAAGAATCAGTACACTTTGGAAATACTTTATCTAAAGAAACCAGATTACTTGAGGACCACAACATGGACAGACTTTTTTTGATATTTGCTCCTTCCTTCCTTCTTTTCCTTTGCCATTGCAATATGCTAGCACAACCAAAATACAACCTCTAGGATGCGTTCCAACCCAAACTGTATCTGGTAACTCAGAGTCACCAAACGCCTACTATACAAATGAAAGCTTTGGAAAATATTTGTATTTTAACTTAAACATACTTGCATTCTGCACCTGGGGATTTCTAATGCACCTAAAAAGAGAGCACTTAAATCATAATTTTCATGGAAAAACAATAACATGTCTTTACAACTGATGCTCTGAATGGTTGAATAGAGACCAAAATATTTCAAAGCGAAAAAACAGTTAGGAGGAAAGAAATCTTTAAAAAAAAAAAAAAAAAAAACATACACACTAAATATGCAAACCCTCACCCCAGTTTTGATTTTTAACAAAGTTAACATTTCTGTATTCACTTCCACCTCCCTGTTTTGCCTGGAATGAGAAGCAAGGAAATACACACAATCTTTCCTCTGTTCTCATGGTACTTGCAGCCTAACTAAAAACAAGGCTTAGTAGAAAGCTAAGAAAGTTTACAGCACAGTTTGAAGGCACAGTATACAGAACAAACTAGCTCCCAGTAAACTGAAACTTAGATTCATCAAAACTTTAATTATATATCTAGAGCTGCTACAGGTAATACTCTTCCCATGTTTGTACTGTCTGAAAACAAAATGGAAGTTTACTCTAGCACAATATCCAGCCTTCCAAACAGAATTCAAGAACAATCTTCCAAGTAAAACAATTTTTACATTTCAGAGATATTGCAAAGTGCTCTCACTGATTGAGTTATTTACATTTTTAGCAGATTGCTGGTGTCACCATTCAGTGAAATTTGTTTGTCTCTTATTAAGGATCACGTATTTCCACCAAAGGAAGCACAGCATCATATTGCTATGGGCCTACTGAAGCAGTAGCACTGAAGCTTTACAACAGACTAAAGTGGTGAGCACTTCTCCCTGTAATTAGGCAGAAAGACAGTATCAGACCTTGAACTGGAAGAACATCAAGAACATTTCTAAAGCAAACCATTCTGTGTCCTCACCTGCAAACTATAATGGGTATCTCCACTGAGCTCGCTCTCAGAAATACATTTTCTCAGAATCTTAGGTGAAGAAATATAATTAGGAAGTATAGCTTATGTGATTTTGTTGACAATGGTGGTACCATATGGTTTGAAAAGGGAAGATTTCCACAGCAACTCATATGAAAACAGAATTGCCATTCAACTGCCTCAAAAGCATGCTTCAGTGCTACTCAGCTAAATAAGCTGCTCAGTGGTAGCTTATTTAGTGTCCCACCTAACAGGCAACACTAATGTCAATTGAAAAAATAATTTCCATAGAAACAGTGCACTAGAACTGCTGAGTGAGTTCAACGAAAAATTCTGCAGAAAGGAAGGAACAAGATAAGCACTGAGAAAGCAAAAGACAGCTTAGAGTTAGTATATTCCTTGATGAGCCTCTGAGGGCACTTTTAAAAACTGGAAGTAAAACTATATTCTGGCCTGAGTGTATTTTATTCTCAAGGCAAATTGCACAACCTATGCCTTTATTTTATCTACCAGCAAGAATCCATCTCTGCTACATATAGGAAACTCTGCTGAAGTTAGTAAAGTTGTACAGTCCACCAGAAGGCAAAATAAATTTTTGTCAGGAAGGAGGAAGAAGGAGGAACCTCTTCCATAAATTTAAAAGTAATTATGGATCTCAGTTCATTTTGTACCGGACAGATGTCCACACTACCAAAACCACAGCAATTAGCACATCTGTTGGCAGCCTCAAATAGGCCAAAGACCAAAAGAATACGGAAACTGGACAAACATCACGGCTCCATAGGTGGTCATTCCCCATCCCCTCCCCTCACCCAGATGAGCAGGATTATGAAATCCTGCATTGCTGTTGTGCATATTTCTAGTGAAAGATAGAAAACATCCATTTCCAGGTCTGTCAAGACTAATCAAGGTTCACCTCACTAAATTCAACTTCACATTTAAAAAACTGCATCTTTTTCCTCCTATACACACACATTCCAGTGTCTTAAGTTTACTGCGTATCATTTTCCTTCTTCTAAAGAAGAGACTCCACAGCCACCAGCAACTTTCTGGCAAGTTAGAAAGCATACTTCTCACTGAAGTGGCAACCAAAACTGCTAAGGAGTTGTTAGGGATATCACAAAACATGAAACCGAAACAAAACCGTGCATTAAATAGTATGCCAATATGCTCCTGCTGCAACCCTGTTGACACCCATCTGTAAGTCTGAAATCCTTCTCCTGCCTTCTGAAATTTTCCAGACCTCTTGCTTTTCAAATGGGGTTATTCTTAAAGATCCTGCAAAACTTTTCTTTAGGCTCACAGCAGTACTTTTCCCCTTCTTTGGCAAGGGCTGAAGGAGAAAACATACAACAGACAAGTCTCAGTGGATTTCATAAAGCTGAAAAGCTGTTTGGCATCAA